TGGCGATGGATTGTAATTAGTCTTTTGGTGGTGAACATGATGTAATTTACACAGAAATTGGAATATAATGATGTACACCTGAAATTTATATAATGTTATAAACCAATGTTACTGCAATAAAAGAAAAAAGAAAAAAAAAGAGAAAGTTTTCCAATCCACTATTTGAAAAATATTCACCTATTATTTTCTGCCAATATTCAATCTTCAAAAAAACAAGGAAAAAATACAATATATTACCGTTGGAATTTATTGGGAGTAAGTTGTGAGGGGGCCAGTTATTATTTCTTCCTCTCAACTGGCTACCCAATTGTCCTCCTTTTAATAATTCATCGTTTCTCCACTGATGTGGATGTGACATTGTGAGATGCCATTGTTTTTATGTTAAAAGTACACACATACACACACAGTCACACAGAGGCTTTTTTCTCCTTCTCCTTTTAATAACAATTAGTTTTGAACCTCAGCCAATCCCATCCTTCAGCCAATCATTCCTAAGGAATAGAGAAATATTTATTGTCATGCCAAGCAACTGATTTTAGTTACCCAGTAATTTGGTACTAGTACTCGAGTAATACTGGATACACTTATTAAGGGAGAAATTCAATACATTTGCCCAAGCCACATCAGAACCCAATTTGAAAATGTCAATCTACTCAAGACGAAGTTGATTATCACTTTGAATAAGCATTCGCGTCTGGAAGACTGAGAAGAGTGCGTCAGGCATCAGGATTCTCTTCTGAAAGCCCTCGGAATCCTGGGCGTCCAGTGGGGAAGAAAGGACACAGGAAGAACCCATGATAGGCTCGATCAGATGTCGGGTGAGCGGCTCTGCCCGAAGAGCCCATGGAGCTGACGCAAACAGGTAGTAGGGGACTCTCTTCAGGAGTCCTCTTAATTTTTCAGCTAGGGTCTCCATTTTGAACGATATCGCTTGGGATTTAAATATCCTGAGTGATTTAGATGCACCAGACAGAAAACTACACAAAACTATTTATAGTTGTTTTGTGGCCTTACAAAAGCAAAATGCTTAGTTCCTAAATCCCGGCGAGTACTTTTTATTCGTGGGGGGAGCGCGGGAACTGAGGGGAAGGGGGGTGCTTTTCTCCCCGACGTTTTCTAACGCTTGCTCTAGCCACCCATAGCACCTTTGCGTTCACTGGGCCGCACCAGATCTCTCAATAGATTTTACCCAAAACACTAAGTGCGGGAGGCAAAGCCAGATGGAGCCAACACCCCGCACCTCTAATCTCTAATAGCTCCCTTGTGGTAGGAGAGGCACTAGCCAGCCCAGTGCGGAAACAGAAGACCTGGGTCTGGGGCCTTTGTGTGGGGCGGGGCATCTCTGGCTGAGATCTCAGCGAGTCAGCTCCAGCGACGCGTTATCTCCCTCAATGAAACATCATTATTCGACCTCCTCTCATCCAGGCCGCACCTCCCACCCCAGTTCCCTTTTGGCATCTCTTTGGTAATGTGTTCCATTAACTCTGCAGTCATCGTCCACCTCCTCCCTCACGGCGACAGTTTTCGGGTTTGGCCCTAGGTTACCGCCACGTCTCCCTAGCAACCGTGTCGCTAATGGCCACCGGAAGAAACCTCGATCACGTGCTCCGTGGACGTCCGGGTTTGCAACGTGACTTCCGGTTGTCAATTTCCCCAGACGCGGCGGCGGCGGCGGCGGCGGCGGCGGTGGAGGAGAAGCTGCGTGGCCCGAGGTCGCCGTGGCCCCAGTGGCGGTGGGCTCCGGGTGGGCTCGCGTCATCCTGCCCCGTGTGCGATGCATCCGCGGCGCCCGGACGGATTCGATGGCTTGGGCTATCGGGGTGGTGCCCGGGATGAGCAGGGCTTTGGGGGCGCTTTCCCTGCAAGGTCCTACAGCACCGCCTCGGACCTGAGCCACTGGGTGACCACTCCCCCAGACATCCCGGGGAGCCGCAACCTGCACTGGGGCGAGAAGAGCCCGCCCTACGGCGTGCCCGCCCCCTCCACCCCGCTCGAGGACCGCGCCGAGGAACCGCTTCCCGGCGGCGGCGGCGTGCCGGGCCAGAGCAGCGGTGAGGGACGCGGCGGGCAAGGCAGGGGTGGGTGGGGTAGCGGAGCGGCGGCCTGCGGACCCCGGAAGCCGCGCCGAGGGTCCCGCCTCCGCTGCCTCTCGGCCTATCGCGCGCCACACCCTCTGCCCTCCTTTCGTCCTCTGCGCCTGAGCGGGCCTCCGCCCTCTTCCTCTCACACATGTTCCCTCCGGGATCACCTCCAAAAAAGACACCTGCCTTAGCTTGGGGTGCGTGGTAGGAATTTCGAAGGGTTTTGGAGTATGACATCCCATGACTTGAATCAAGAAAGAAGAAAATTGGGTTATTTACTGCTTATTGGGAATATGTGAACAATACCTAATTCACTGACAGTTCTATTTCCTTGATTTAATTAATTATATCTTTGTGTTCTGGAAAGGGAAGTTTTTCAGCATAGGCAGGCTTGGGCTCAATTGCAATTAATTTCTTTCTATAGATCCCAAAAAGAGTACTGGAAAGTTATAAATTAAATAATTCAAAATGCATATATGATTGCTACACAGTTATCTTCTTTGGCAGTAAATCTGATGTTTTTATCTTTTCATAATTTATGCTTTGATGGTTATAATGAGGAGGAGCTCTTAATAAAACCTCGGGTTTTGGTTTTTTTTTTTTTTTTTTTTTACGGCAGTTAAGAGACTAGTTAATGTAAGTTTGCAAGGAAGATAGAAGCCTGAGAGACTTATACAGTTAACAATAGTAAACTTTCCTAACATGTTCCAGAAAATATTTTTTTCTGTTAATATTAGGGGATGATCTGTACACACAAAAAGGGAAAAACTGAAAGGAGGAAAGTATCTTTATTGGGCAAAAGAAGCTTCTATCTAACTTTGACATTTTTCAAGGCAAGAGGGAACTGATAGTTTCCCCAGAGACATGTTTACCTGGCCTTGTTCTGACTGTAAGGGAATAGCGAGGGCATAACTTCATTTGAAAGAGCAGAGATGAGAGAGAGAAGAGATGGGAAAAGGGAGTGAGAAAAGAGAGGGAGAGAGAAAAATTATCCCTTGTGAATATTGTATTATAGCTGAAATTTAATGTCTAGTCCCCTGGGGTTGTGATATTTCACCATTGTGATTTTGAGTTTTTTAGTCAAGGAGAAAATTTTTTTTCCTGTTTTGACATGTGCATAGGAATGTTTCCAGCTGTAAACTTTACTATTAGGACTATAGAAATGCCATCAGCAGTAGCACATTGGTACCCAGTAGCCTATCACAGAGATCTAATTAAGCAACTGCTCTCAAAATATCTAAAACTTGGGGAGATAGAGAAGAAGAGGGCCTTATTTACCCATTTTTTGGTTACCGTAAGTATTCTTTCAGTTTAATAATTTTGAGGTGTTTTACTTGTGACTATTGGGTTCACATAGATGCTCTCCACCAGTGACAGTGAATGACTAATTTTACAACATGGAAGGTAAAGTTGGTATAAGTATCTGTCAGAGCCTTCTATAGAAAAAATGTTAAGTCGTTTGTAGTCAGAAGTTGAAAACTGATAGCCCTTAGATTCTACCTACAGACGTGTTGATTTGGCCCACACAATGTTTTAATGCTTTTTAAAATAGTTGCCAGTATTTTAAAATTGGAAGATACTATATAAAAATATGAATATCTTTTTTAGAAAAATCACAGCTTAGAAACCCTGGGCCCACAGTCCCACGTGGCAACAATGAATTGGAGCTGAAGAGCAGTTGTGCCTTTAGAAAAAAGTCTATACCTTGCAACTTGCCACAAGCCCCGAGAGAGCCCTTCACTCATTCAAAGCACCCCCCTGGCCCCCATCAGAATTTGACTTTGGGACCTGGAGTTTAAATGGATATCATGTTAATAAAAGAAAATACTTTTTGTTGTTTTTACAGTAAACCTAAGTATTGGTTATAAGTAATCTTATTCCTTCTATTTTAGAACAGTTGAATAGATTTGCTGGATTTGGAATTGGACTTGCAAGGTAATATTTTATCTAAAGATTTTTAATTTAAGTTTTTATTTAAAGTTTTCTCTTTAATGTAATTTATAATATTAAATGATTAGTATTGCTTTTTTAGATTGAGTCTTTAGAGCAGTAGATTAAATATTGAATAATATTTTGCAGAAAAAATTGTTTAAAATCTATAACTTTTTTCAGTAAGGATAGAGAATAGTCATTCAATTTTATAATCACAAAATAATTTTGTAAGGAATATTGTAAGAATTTTCATGTGTCTAGCCAAAGAATAAAATAAAATCTAATCTTATCTCCCTCTCCAAAAAAAAAGTAATTGTGCATTGAACCTTTTCCGTAAGCATTCAAATTATAATAAGATATTTAGCAACATAGAATCTGGATTTCACTTACAATCAGCATTTAATGAGCACCATTTTTGATTAATGATCATTTTGTGTAAGAAAAGCTTCCAGTTTTGATTTTGTGATCTTTAGTGAATACTGTTTCAAAAACGTTGGAATTGCACAAAGGCTTAGATTTCATGTCAGAATAGCTCATTGTTTTACACATTTTAATCAAGAAAAAATGACCTTATTTGCATAGTTAAACCTGAGATGTTAATGTCAATAGAAACAAAATTTGTGTATTAAAGTTTTCCTTTTGCTAGAGCTAATTTTTCTTTAGCCTCACTGTTTATACTTAAGCTATTGTTCATTTGATATATTATTAATATATATGTGAATGTGTGTGTCTGTGCACACACACGCACGTGTCACTGTTAGTGCTTAAGTCCACAGTCGTAATTTGTTTGTGGGGAATGCTTTCAGAAGAAGTATTTGATGCATAAAATAGTAGTCAATTAGCACGGTCATTAGAATCCCTATAATATAAGTGCAAAGTACATCAAAACCAAAATTTATAGAGTGGTGTTCCTGAAGAATAGATAGCTCTTCTAATAGGAGCTTTGTTCATAGGACATCTTCTGAAAGAAATGGAAAGGGGTATTTAAATTCTCTAGGAAAGGATTTTCCCGTATCAGACACAAGAAATGTAGTTTCATCTTCATACTATACATATTAATATTTTACATTGTTTCCCTTGCTTACCAGTTTGCAAGTCTGGCTTTAATTCTTTTCATACTGAATTTTGTTATTGGTAGAATGATTTTCAAATATGTCTAGACATTTAAAAATGTTTTTTTTAACAAAAAAATACATCATTAAAATAATGCATAATTCTTCAAGCAAGAATAATTTCAGATACATAATGTTGTAAATTAAATTTGGCTATATTATATATATATAAAAATTATTCTTATATAGTCTCTTTACAGAAAATGTACTGGCCCATCCTTGCATTGTTCTCCGCCGCCAATGTCAGGTAAATGTACTTTCTATGACCTTCAAAACAATAATCCTAACCCTGATTTGAAGTACAGAACCCAGATAAATGGCTGAGACCATGTAACCATTATTCTCTTTGAAATGTACCAAAATCTATAATATATCAGTTCTCAAACTTTTTGGTGCTTGAAACCTTTTAAGTGTTAAAAATTATTGAGCTCTCCAAAGAACTTTTGTTTATATAGGTTATATCTATCAATACTTCGTTTCCTTTCAAAAATCAAAACTGGGAAAATTTTAATATTTCTTTCTTTAATTTATTAAAAATAATAAACTCTTTAGGTATTAACATGAATAGTGTTTTTATGAAAAATATTTTACTTTTTTGCAAATATCTTTAATGTCTGGCACAATGGAAGACAGCCAGATTTTCACATCTGCTTCTGCAGTCCATCTGTTGCAATACATTGTTTTTGAAAGAAACAGGAAAATCTGGCCTTATATGCATTTGAAAATGGGAGTATTTTATGTCTTTTCCAGATAATTGGCAGATATTCTTCTTTGATACTACACCACAACTCAATAAGTAGTAATTTCTTAAAGGATATTTGCAATGTGAAGTCTGAAGCCACATCAATTAACTTTTTATACTCTGTTACATTAATATCTATTGATCTGTACTGCATGTTGAATGGATTTTTTTATCCATGCATGATTCTGTTACATTATGTATTGATAAATTGAAAAATATTGATTTACTAAGTTATATAGATCCTCTAAATGTTATGACATTTGATTATACAGTGTCAAAAAAACACCGTCATTAAAATCACTACCAATCTCACCAGAAAAGTATTTTAGTATTGGTCAACTCTTGATGGTGGATACAGGTTTTCCAGAATTCTGATTTTTGCTTGTAAACTGAGATTTATTGTTGGCAACAAATACTGTCTGTTTTTTCTTTAATCAGCAAGCTCACTTCGTTCATTTTTAAAAACATCTGTCTGTCCCAAGTGTGAGTAACTATAGTCTGTCAGTTTTTCCAGAAGAAATGGGAAAAAAGTGTCTACTTCAGCTTGCAGCTCCATCAGACAAGTGCTTTTCCTTGGCAGCCGTTCATTGTGCAGCACAAAGAATATTAATTAGAAAGATGATGTGTACTCAAAGAGTCAAGATTTTATAAAATTAATATATTTTATAAAATTAATACATCCAAGGACACATTCTTTAGTGAAAGTGGCTTTTCCTCCTTACAAGTGAGTGGGATGAAGTATACAATAAGTACAAAAATATAGTTTGGTGCCACTGCTTTGATTCATGCTGAGGAGATAGTGAGTTTACCCATCGTTGCTTTTGCACTATTATTCAAAGTCAACACAATGAAAAAGGCAAATGATGCCTTAGTATCAAGAAAATAATTTTGAACTTGTCGATCCCTTGAAAGGGTAACGAGGCCCTCGGTGTCAGTGGATCACACTGTGGCAAAAGCTCCTAGGGCCGGCCCTGTGGCTTAGCGGTTAAGTGCGCGCGCTCTGCTGCTGGCGGCCCGGGGTTCGGATCCCGGGTGCGCACCGACACACCGCTTCTCTGGCCATGCTGAGGCCGCGTCCCACATACAGCAACTAGAAGGATGTGCAGCTATGACATACAACTATCTAGTGGGGCTTTGGGGGAAAATAAATAAATAAATAAAATTTAAAAAAAAAAAAAGCTCCTATAATATAACTTATCTTCTTTCAAAATTGAGTTAGAAAAGATACAAATAATTACAAATTAAGCTGTTCATGCTTAGCACCAAAAAGTATATATAGAGAAATAGCCATTTAAATATTGAGCAATGTATATGCCCCAGAACAGTAAATTTCAGACATATATTTTACATTGTGTCAATATTACATCATGATCCAGTATATACATATATATGAGTAACTTAAAAAAATGTTTTATGAAATAATACCTTCAGAATGTGTGATGCATTCTCATACTTTCTTTTTTTATTATTTCACTTAATAAGTATTGGTTATGAACCCCCTTTACTGATTTCATAATTTATCACTTGTTTATAGCTTATAGTTTGAAAGATGCTTGCTGTTGGGAGACACGAATCTCCCGTTCTCTGAGTTTCTTTGTGGTTCCTGTGTGTTAAATGGCATCGGCATTTTGCAACACTGAATGTAATTCTAGTGTTTCAGGAAACATAAATATCAAACAACAAGGCCTTCTTTATTATATATTCTACATTACTATATATGTTGTGCATTGGTCTTCAGGGTTGTATTTCTATAACCATATGTACTGTACTTTTAATAAGTCATTGAAAGCACTTTCAATACTAATTTTGCTTAGGTGTAATTTATGCTGGCATTAGAATTGAACATTTGTTTATGCTGTGACTCCACTGTATATCTTTCATGGCCTTGTTGTTTCTTGACAAAACAATAACAAAATAATCATGAAATATCTTTTTTACAGGTTAATTACCATGCTCGGCATTATCATCTCACTCCGTTTACTGTCATCAACATTATGTACAGCTTCAACAAAACTCAGGTGAGAATTATCCTATAGGTTCTATTAAAGTTATTTATAATATAATTGCTCTTTGGCCTTAGTAATACTTAAAGCAACAATAATTCCTTTTAATTTAGTTAATAAAAATATCTTAACTCTCATACTGAAACTAATGCAACATGGTAATGACATCTTTTTGATGTTACTGAATAATCAGTGAATTAACACCTTTGCCAAAATTAACTAAATATTAGGGGTATTTAATCAATATTAGAGATATTTAATTAATTGGAGTGTTCATCTTGGCCTCACCTAGGCCACTCAATAAACATTAAAATAATGATAAGAGTTAATTTAGTTGTAGTTCTCTACTAAAATGTCCTTTAGAATAATGCCTTATGGGAAAATATCAGTACACATTCAATATCAAGTTTTATTAAGACCTTTTTGTGTTTCTTGTTTAGGCATTAACAGAAATAACAATAAATTTTGTTCATTTTAGGGACCAAGGGCCCTTTGGAAAGGAATGGGAAGTACATTTATTGTCCAGGGAGTCACACTTGGAGCGGAGGGAATAATCAGTGAATTCACACCTTTGCCAAGGTACCTTTTTTGGCATTTTCTCAATATTAGCTTCATATTAAAAAAATGACAAAATGTGATAGTTTCTAAAAAATTCCTTGAATTTGAAAACTTGCCTGAAGTAGCCAAGGGAAGAAGCAGAAAATAAAGTGAATTATATCTTACTGAATGTGTGTGTGTTAAAGAAAATGCTTCCTGGTCTAGTATCTATTAAGATATGTCTTTCAGCTCCTACTACTGTGTATCAACAAGTATCAACTAAGAAACAAACAGGAGTATGTGAGTGCTTCCTGTTCTTTAGCCAGTTTGGTGAAGGAGACACATGTAAGCATTTGCTATAGTGCTATAATTAAACACTTTCATTTCAGAGCCTTAGGGACAGTTTGCGTGGAGTTATTGGCAAGGATTTCAAAAAGGAGCTGAAATCTGAGCTAGATCTTGAATTATGAGTAGGAATTGACTTGGCGGAGGAGGAGAGCATTCCGAGCAGAGGTGACAGCATGCCCAATTTTATGGAGGTTGGAAGGTCTGGGTAATAAGAAGTGTCTTGTGCTTGGAATATTGGGCGTGTATGGAGTGGAATAACAGGAAAAGAAGCTGAGGTGCTAGATTGACGCATGGTTGTGCCTTTGTGAGGGACTTAGTCTTTATTCCTTTTGGTGTTGGGAATCTAAGGGAGTTTTTTTTGTTTGTTTCTCTTTTTTAGTATATGGGTGCTTTGATCAAGGGTGTACTCAAGTGGCAGTATAAAAACAAAATGGACTGATGTAGAGAGAGACTTGTGGAGAACTGTTATAGTAATCTAGGCCCGACTGAGAAGGGCCTGAACTCTGGAATAGAACAGAAAGGGATGAGCTGGATAGACATTTCTGAAGTGTAAATGATAATTGGTGATAGATTGGGAATGGGGGTATGGGAGAATGAATTGTCAGCAATGACTGAGATTTCTAGATTGGAATAGAGTTGGAGAATTCAGGAAGAATAGTAAGTTGGAGAGGGAAAGAAGATAAGGAATTTAACTTTCAATAGTTGAAGTGTGATATTCCTGCAAGACATCTAAGGGGACATGTCTAATAAGTGGTTGGAACTGTGAATCGGAGTCTTAGAGAAAATTTGAAGCTGGAGGCCTAGCTTTGAATGTTGTGGCATAAAAGTAGCAGTTGAAGCATTAGGATGGATGAATTTCCCTAAGGAGAAAGTGTAGACTAAGTAAGAGAAGGTAAACCAAGGATAGAATCCTGGGCAATGTGTGATTTCACATGTGTGTACCATGCATGTGTGTGTATGTGTGTGGCAGGAGAGGTAGTTGAGGGGAGTAGTGAGAGATGCTCATAAAACAAACTGAAAACAGCGGTAAGCTAGAGGACAATAGTGTCCTAGAGGCCAAGAGAGAATTAGAATTGTAGATAGGTTTGGAGGGAGAAGGTAGAGAAATTGGGGAAGTTCACTTCTGGGTCTGTTTTTCTCTCTGAAACAGGATGCAGGGTCATTAGGTAAAAGAAGGATGAGCATTGGAGTCGAAGTAGAAAAGCATGAGAAGAATGATAAACGTTTGGGACAGTCACAACTATATATAACAGAAAGAGAACTTTCCAAGGAATATGTGAAAGGAATGTTAATAGATAATATTGGAAATCATAAATTTGTTTAGGTGCTATTTGGCAGGACTTTGTGATTTTCTGTATCAGTACTATATCCCAGGAATAGTGTTAAAGACTTAGAATGGTTTGTTAATCCAAAGTTGGCTCCTGGCAGGGTGAATTTTTGGATTGACAAGGAAATGAGGTAATTAAAGGTATAGCCACTGGTGTCTCAATCTTGGGATTCAGTCTTTATAGGGAAGAAAATGAAGGCAGGAAGAGACTGAGATCAGGCTTTTTGCCAATGTGATTCCTTCAAAGGACATCATAGTCTTGAAGTTCCTTTAATACAGCGTTGTTAAATGTTAAATACAAAACATTTGGCCAGCTAAAGGTTTCCCTTCTCTTACTTAAAAAGTTTGAATTCCTGCCCTTGGCTAACTTTATTTACGCTATTGCTTTTTATATCACAGAATAAGATCAATAGTTAGTACTTGTCATTGAATGTTCTTGAAGTTCTCCCACAAACACAAAATTCTATAAAAATTTATCAAAATTCAGGAATTTCTATATGGTAAAGTGTAAAGAATTCTGTATTTGCAGTCAGAACACTTTTGGTCCTGGCTACACCACTTTTTAGTTCTGGGACCTTAGGCAAGTAATGCCATTTCTCTAAAGCAGAGATGAAATAGTAACTTTAACTTCAGGTTGAAGAGAAGGAAAAAGAGAAATGCAAATGGGAAGGCACAGAATTTTATTATCTAACGTTTTTACTTTGTAGACATCTAGTCATGTCAGTTGTGTGGGTATGTATTTCCTCTTGGTCATTTTGAACCTTATTAAAGAAGACACAAAAGATTATCTTTGTTGTAATCTACCTGGATAACTATGGTGATAAACTCCGCTCGTTAATTCATTCATTTACTTAGCTAATATTCCTGAGTACCTACTATGTGTTAGGTCCTATGCTAGAAATCAGGTATACATTGAGGAGAAGAAACAAAAGGTACCTGTGATCATGAAGGGTAGAATCTAGTGTAAGGGACATATGTTAAGTAAAATAATCCCACTCATGAATAAATAATTACCGATTGAGATTTGTTCTCTGAAGGAAAAGAATATGGTTCTTTGAGAGTATTGAAGCGTTAGGAACAATGTCTCTAATAAAATGACACTCAAGCTGAGATCTGAGTGGTGATGAGGAGGCACAGACCAGTTTGTTTAAAGACAGTGTGGCAGGGGGAACAAGGAGAATTTGAGTAACTGAGAGAAGCTCATATGGCTGGAGCTCAGAGAGCAAGATGGAGAGCGGTGTGAGAGAGTGCTGAAGAAGTAGGTAAGAGCCAGTCTATGCATGGCCTTGTAGGCCACTTTAAGGGTATTGGAGAGTTTTAAGCAGGGGTCAATAACATGACCAGATTTATGTTTTTAAAGGGGCATTGTAACTGGAGATGAAAAGTTTGCGGGAGGACCACAGTAGATAAAAGGATACATGTTCATAAGCTATAACAGTAATCTAGGTGAGAAATAATAGTAGCTAGGACCAGGGTGGTATCTTCTGAGATGGATGTAAGGGGATAATTTTGAAATACATTTAGGTAAAATTGATGGAACTTGGTGATGGATTAGGGATGGTAGATAATAGAGAAGGACGTGTTTAGGATAACTTCTAGGATTTTGGCTTGGGTAACCAGATGTCAAATAAAGCCATTCTCTGAAGTACAATGTAAACTTTTTTTTTTTTTTTTTTCATTCTGACTTTTTGGTCAGGGTTGACCTTTCTGGGGGAAAGCAAAGTCATAGCAGACAAGGCAGCAAAGCAGTAACCCAAAGCAATTCACAGAGGTTACCACATGAGGAGGATGAGCTCTAGGGTCTCCTAGACTGAGGTTCCTTAATTACACAGTGATCACTAGGTCCAACAGGTGAGACACTATAGATTTGCCCATATTTAGTTTTTTGTACTGGCTATAATTACATCTGAGAGAAAAAGAGCAAGTCTATAGTACCCATTAAATCACCAAGCTTGTAGTTTCTCAGTATTACTAATTTTTTTAAAAATGTATATAATCCAAGTTCATCATCTGAGATCTCTTTCTTTATCTGCTGCCCAGACCCCTCCCAAATCCTTCCCCAAACCTTCCCCCAGGTGGAGTGAGTTAGACTATGTGTTGCTCTACCCGGAAGTACCCTTTACTTTTCATATGGCATTTCTCATATTATTAACATAAGAAGCACCTATAACCAAGGCTATCTCTGTAGTTTAGTCTCTCACAGAACCCATTTGGTTGAATTCCAACTTAGTTTGACTCATGTCACATTTATAGTTGTACCAATGTAAACATCGGACAGTTTTCTCATGTTGTCTGTTTTCCTAATGACTCCTCTGAATTCACTGACTTTAAACACATTCTCTTTTAAAGGAAGTGAAATCTTTCTCCAATTCAATAAATTTCCTTTCTGATTAACAGGTTCTAAATAGGGAACACTAAAAGAGTCTAAGAGTAGGAAAGAAAGATCATAAGTTTGATTTTGGACAAGTTCATTTTCATGGGCTTTACCGTATCCAGGTGGAGTTGTCAGTAGAAAGATGATATCTAAGGTTGACAAACAGAAAAGTCTAAACAGAAAATAATAGATTTGGGAGGTTTTGAAGCCATAATCTTGGATGAGATTACCTAGGGAAGGAGTATAGCATATAAAATAAGAAAAGAAGAGGGCCTGAGCCTTTAGGAACTCCAGAATAGGGAGTTAGGTTGGGTTAAGAAAAGTGCTCCTGCAAGGAGTCAAAAGCAGAGACCAGAAGAGAGGAGAAAAACCAGAAGAGTATGGGATAGTGGAGTGTAGGGCCAGAGAGTGCTTCGAGAAAGGGGGGAACATGAATGTGTGGTGGCTGCTGAAAGGGCAAATTAGGTACAGACTTAAAAATGTCCATCAGGAGGCCAGCCCCAAGTCCTAGTGGTTAAGTTCAATGCACTCCACTTCGGTGGCCCGGGTTCGGTTCCCAGGCATGGAAGTACACCACTTGGCAGCGGCAGCGGCAACCCACATATAAAATAGCGAAGATTGGCACAGACGTTAGCTCAGGGCGAATCTTCAGTGTCCATCGGATTTAGTGACATGGAGGTCATGGGGACCTTGGCAAGAGCTGCTTTTATGGAATAATGAAGTTGAAGCTCATTTGGAGTGGGTTCAGAAGTGAGTGAGAAGTTAGGACTGGAAATAGCATGTTTAGAAAGTTGGCTGTGAAGAGGAGAGATGAAGAGGAGTAGCTGGAAGATGAGGGGTTTCGGTTGCGTTGAGGGAAGATTTTTTTTAAGAGGGCAGCTATTTGAGCATATGAAAATGAGAGGCAATGGAAAGTAAAGACCGCTTAAATATAGTTATTTAAAAATTCTCTTGTTTTTGTGTATTGATTATGCATCGGAGTATGTATATTATTTTATCAAATGGGGAACTATTTTGAGAAAAAGCAAGCCATTTCTCTTAATTTTTGTTGCTCGTTTGAAGGGCAGTTTTTGCTTGTGAAAATAGTGAATTAAATATATTTATACATGTTTTGGTATTTGATAATGAAATATAAAAAGCTTTAATCACAAATAGATTTTAACACTACCCTGTTTCCTTGAAGCATTTAAATATGCTAATTTAAATTTCTAGAGTTGTGGCAATAGGTTTTACCCATTTTATAAAGGAGTAGAGAACAGATACAAGGAAGAGAGTCTCAATTTTCTTATATACTTGGTTGTAAATTTCATTTTTCACTCTTTTACCTTAATAATCTTAATGACCTTAAGAATTGGCAGTTGTAATTAGTATTATATTCAAAGGGGAGGTGGCCCAGTCCTCACAGACCCATCTGCCCATGTTAATGACAGTTGCATGCTTCAAATCAATGTCCTGATAACCTGTGGTAATACTTTCTGAAGCTATGATAAGAGTAATAGCAGAGCCCAGATGATTTAAAAACCATGTAGCATATTTTGTTTTATAATCATAAAGTCACCATCAGTAACATGGGAGGCCTAATCTTTTTTGACATTTTTTGTCTTAATCATTGAATGTCATTCCAGCTCTATTTTTCTGTGGTTGTTCAGGCCTAATTATAGTATTCTAGTATTAATTTAATCAGAATGTGCCACAGAAGGCTCTCTAAGATCTAATAAATCAGAGATGGTTGTTCTAGTGTCTGAAAGTTTCTCTGCAAACCTTTCAGTCTTAGAAAAATGCAAACCACCCATGCTATAATTGTACTGTTTGTTTTTAGGTTGCCTACGTTATTAGTGATTCATTTTCTTCACCTCTTTAATATGAAATATATTTATTCCTTTATCTCCTTACATTTGGCATGTTTACTCATTTCGAATAGAAAATGTTTTCCTCAGGTTCCCGCTGTGGCCGTGGTGCAGTGGGTGCCAGTTTCCTGAGGGGCCAGGTGGCAGCGTCTGCTCTCTCGTTTATGCTTCCCTTCTCTGCTGTTCCCCCCTCTCTCCCTCCCTCCTCTCCCCTTCCATCCCCTCCATCTGCCTTTTCATTTTTTTCGGCCTCCTTCTTTACTTTCCCTTTTACTCTCCATATTCTTTTCTTCTTTTTCACTTTTCTCTTGATAAAGCTTTCTCCTTTTCTGTTCCTCTTTCAGGTTGCCTCTCTTCTTTTTCTTCTTTTTTTCTGGTTTCCAGAGGTAACCTAACTAGCGGAAGCACATGGTCCTAGACCTTGGTTCCAGACCTGGCGTTTTGCCTAGCTCCTTTGAACATGTCCCTGTCATCTTTTTGACCTTCATTTTTCTCATAAGTAAAACAAATGTGACAACACCTGCTCTGCTTGTCTCAAAGATTCCTTCCTGCATCAAATGAGATGAGAGGCAGTGCAGGCCGACAGTGCAGACTTCAAGTCACAGAGACCAGAGGTAGAACCCAGTTGCCCCACTGACTGGTTATATGGGTTTGGGTCCGTTCTGAACCCTCTCTGACCCTGTTTCCTCATCTATGAAATGGGGGTAATAGGGTCATTGTGAGCGTTAGAAATCATCTAGCAAAGCGTTTTACAAAAGCACCCGGCATGTACTAGGTGCTCCAAAAGATAATAGAATATAATAAAGGTCACAAAATTAAGGTCATCATAACAATTAAAAGCACTTTGGAAATTAGGTGCTACACAGATTTTATGCGTCCTTCTGTGTTACAGTTACTTAATTTTGTTTTGTTTTTTAATTCTCCTTCTTACATACTTTTTAAAGCTTTTTTCTTCCTTTATCCTATTCCTTGTTTCCCTTTCCCTTCCTCATCCATTCTTTTTTCCTCAACCTATCATTTTTATATCTTCTCCTTTAATTTCTCATGTTCATTTTTAGAATCGGTTGTAGTTCCTCCTCTGTCAACCCCTTCTATCAGCATATACAAAAACACCGTGTATATTTTTTCTCTTTTCAAACCACTGCAGTTGTTTGAAGCATGCCCCAGAAAGGGACTATAGAAATTAGAATATATTTCTCCTATAGATTTTTTAAAAATGTAAAAATTGATTACCGTTTTGAAAATTGGGCTAATTCAAGATGTTTTAAATAACATGGATTTTGTTTTATTTAAATTTATTTTTTAGGGAGATTTCACATAAATGGAATCTTAAACGAATAGGAGAACACCTTCTACTGAAATCGTAAGTATCAAAGTGGCATTTATATTGAAAATTTCCATTAATTTTTATAGTGTTAGAACTGAAAAAAAAAATCTTATTAAATAAATAGAGTGAAGGATATTAAAGCAATAAAATAATTGTGGAGCCAGAACTTCAAGAGACAAGTAACATAGAGTTTAGAAATAAAATCCTGAAATATATATTATCTTTAAAATAAATCTTTCTAATTTAAAAAGCTGAAATCACAACCTAATTTTTCTTTGTGTTCTTAGAAAATTAGCAAAGGTCTTCACCTTGTTTAACCTGAATTGCCAGGAAAATTGTTATTATTATTATTTTATTATTAATCAGAGAGACAAATATATTTGTATGATGGTGAGCAAACTCAAAGCCTTAGTGTCATTAAAATGTAGTCCTAAAGGCACGTAGTGATTTTACAACACTGAGCATTTTTATAGATTAGAATTTTACTCTTCACTTTTTAATTTTTTTTGAAGATTGTGAATTGGAAACCCCCCCAGCTTGCTGGCTCCCTCTGTGGGACATTCCAGCACATTATTACTTAATGATGTTCCATTCACCTTGAAAACCACTGCTTGCCAGGACCTGGCCCGTAGGGTTAGGTAAGTCCCACCTCGATATTATTTCAAATAACTATATTTTGCAGGCTTGCAAGGTTGTAATATTACTTTGTCTAAATAGTGGTGGTGGGAAGCAACTTTGCAAAGCTGTACAATATTGTTTTTTAATAATAAAAGAGGACTTCACTCACCACTGAATACTGGCTTAACTCTGCTGGGTGGGAAATTTGGGAGTGGATAATGATAATAGATAGAATAATAGCAGAACAGTAGACTTGTTCAAATATCACTAAAAAGGCAAGCAATGGAATGAATCCCTCATCCTAAATTTTAAGTGTCAGATTTATAGGCTACATTAGCTATGTGCAGATAGATTTCCAAACAGTGAATCATAAACGAGCCTACATTTTACTGGTTTAAAATAAAATCTATTTTCTTTGCAGGCTGTCCCTGTGTTATTAATACTTAATTTTTTTTCATCTCTAATTGTTGAGTGAAGCATCCTATGTTACAGGTCTCTGAAGTATCTTTAGGCTATAGGTGTTAATAGTTGAGAACCTTAAAAATACCATTCAGGCTTGAATATAAATTATGTTGATATGTTAAAGTGGATATTTAAAAATTTAGTGTAAGCATCTTGTTTCAGTATACTGATGTTTGTTTTCATTTCTACAGCCTAACTTATATGGTGGCAATGCCTTTTTATTCAGCAAGTCTAATTGAAACAGTACAGGTGAGCTATTTCTTATTGTCATTTTTTAGTTAAAAATATTTTTTAGAATATTCAATATATGTGTATGTCTGATTGTATAACAGAAAAATTAAGACTTAAATTTACACACCGCTAGGCATTGGTAGTGTGTATATTTCCTTTGCAAACTTACTTCACATTTCTAGTTTTAATTCTTTTTATCTCTTCCATAGGCAGCTGTACTCCTTATTCAGATATCTCAGAACCCAGCCTGTGACTTGCTCTGAATACAAAGAATCTATAGTTTGTTTGTTTTTTTTTCAACTTTTTAAGACCTTTATGTACAACTCAAATGGTTATGGCTTATCAGACAATAAATTAATTACTAATTACCTGAGCATAAAACATGATGGACAGTCATCCTAGCAGTGAGCATGTAGTCCCCCTGGGTAGTTTACTAACAGCATTCTTTTTAAATATGCCTTCTAAAGAAAAGTTGGTGCTATGGTGTGTTAAATACTACAAAGCTGAAGCAATCTCCTGCTAGCGTTTTAAATTGTTTTACTACTTCTAACCACATGGTGGCGCGTCAAGTACATTGAATTAATGTACTGTCTCATCATAGCGTATTTCCTACACTTAAACCTGTAAAATGAAGATAGTTTTGACTTCACCTATACACAAAATCCAACTAATTGTATACCACCTATCTTCTATCTCCAATATCAGATCCTCGAGCATATTTCTTGTCTTCCATATGTACGATTTCCTGCTCTATAAAAACCTCATTGGATCAGCCTTTCCTCTTCTAGTTACTCTTTTCCACTTAATTGCTTTTCTAGCCCCATCATTGATTGTTTATTTATTTATTCTTAGAATTAACTTCAGTTAACTGAAGTAAACGTCTTGCTACCCAAATATACTTTCCTCTTCCCTTGCATTTGGCATTGAGTTAAATAAATGATATAACCTTTGTATGGAGCTGCAGTTTACGTAGTTATCACTCTATGGGATATACTCATTTTATAGATAAGGAAAAAAATAGCAGAAAGCTAATTGTTTAAGGAAAAACAACTAAGCAGCATCATATACTGGGGGAAACAAGTTTTAGCTTTAGACCCGTGTCAGAATCACATTTCTCTACTTAAATTAGATCTGTGACTTCAAAGAAATGCCTTAACCTTTCTAAATCTTAATTTTATTATCCACAAAATGGAAATAGTATTTTCATAACTGAGTTATAAAAACTAAATGAATTATGTAAAGTGCTCAGCTCACTATATGTCAGGGTTTTGTTTTTTGTTTTTTGGGGTTTTTTTTGCTGAGAAAGATTCACCCTGAGCTAACATCTGTTGCCAATCTTCCTCCCCTTTTTTCCCCTCCCCAAAGCCCCAAGTCCATAGTAGTATATTCTAGTTGTAAGTCCTTCCAGTTCTTCTACATGAGCCGCCACCACAGCATGGCTACTGACAGATGGGTGGTGGTGTTCCACACCTGGGAACTGAACCCAAGCTGCCCAAGCGGAGTGCACCAAACTTGAACCACTAGGCTGTCAGGGCTGACTCTAATATCCGCCCCCTGTATTCCTGCTCCAGGTTCCACCTGCTAACTGCCTCCTTTTTGACTCCTTTTGTCTGATTTTCTAGAACTCCTTTTTTTCCTTCTTAGATTTCTACTCTGTTAAACACTAAACTAAAAACTAAAAACTCTTCTTTTAGTAACTTCTTTACCTTCTCTTCTACTGTACTCCAAGGCATAATCCTTGACCCTCTCTGCTTTTTATCCTTTATTCACTATCCTGAAGGACTCACTTACTCTCATGAATCTTTTTTTTTTTTTTAGTGAGGAAGACTAGCCCTGAGCTAACATCCATTGCCAGTGCTCCTCTTTTTGCTGAGGAAGATTGGCCCTGGGCTAATATCTGTGCCCATCTTCCTCTACTTTATATGAGATGAGGCCACAGCATGGCTTGATAAGCGGTGCATAGGTCCACCCCCGGGCTCCAAACCTGTGAACCACTGAAGCAGAGTGCGCGAACTTAACCACTATGCCACCAGGCCAGCCTCTCATGAATCATTTTAACTAATCTTTATGGGAATCAAATCATTGTCACCTCAAACTCAACTCATAAAAACAATCTCATCTTATTCCTCTGAAAATTCATTAGATTCCTTTTGAGCCTCTTCTCCTTTTCTATTAATGGTACTATTGTTATCTTCACCCTAAAGACTCAAAACTTTAGTTTTAGTTTTTAGGAAAGTCTTGATTTTAGTATTTTTTTCATCCTTTATAACCAATCAGTCATCATGCCTTCTTAGTTCTAACTTCAACAAGTATCTGAGATTTGTCTGTTTCTCCCCATTGATAGGCAGACATTCTCATCCCTTCTTCACCACAGACTCAACTTATTACATCAGCTTCTTTCTTCCTGCTTAGTGTTCAGTGGTTTTTTTGTCCTCCTGGGGCGCTCAGATCTCTTTGAGAACGTTCTTTCCCTTGAAAAATACGCATCTATACATAGATCTCCTGGAGCCCTTAGATATAAATTTCCTAGTGATCTGTTTTCTTCGTTGAGAATCCTTATTCTAGTCCCTGCATTTTTAAAGTCCATTCTACTCTTGCAAGATTAGTGTTCTTAAGTTGCGATGCTTATATCCTTTTGCTGATTAAGGATCCATGTTGACTCATATTCCCTGAGGTCAATTTCAGACTTCTCAGCATAGTATTAAATCAAGGTTTTTATTGACTTCATTTTACCTTTCCAGTTAATCTTAACTGCTAATTTTTTTAACCTCATTAAATATTTATTGAGTGCCAACTTATATTAGGCACTGTTGTAGACCCTGGGCATACAGCAGCGAACAAAACAGACAAAAATACTCTGCCCTCATAGCACTTATATTCTTGTGGGAAAGATAGACATAGAGAAGGTAAATATAAAGTATACTAGATGGTGCTAAGTGCTAAAGAGAACAAAAATAAAGCAAGGAAATTAAATAAGATGTGTAATGGATAGAGAGGGTCGGTTACTAATTTTTTAAGATCAGTAAAGACCTCACTGAGAAGGTGACATTTGAGTAAAAGTCTGAGCATAGGAACCACATGGATATTTGGGAGAAGAATATTCTAAGTAGAGGGACAGTAAGTGCAAAGGCCTTGAGGTAGGATTGTATCTTATGTGTTTGAGGAGCAAAAAGGAGGCCGATATAGTTGAAGCTAACTAAGCAAGGGGGAGAACAGGAGAAGATGAGGTCTGAGAGGTGAGAGAGGGAGAGATCACACAGGACATTGTAGATCATTGTCATACTTTGCCTTTACTTTGAGGGAGATGAGAAGTCTTTGGTGGGTTTTTTTTTTTGGTGTGTGTGAGGAAGATTAGCCCTGAGCTAACATCCATGCCCATCTTCCTCCACTTTACACGGGACGCCGCCACAGCATGGCCTGACAAGCGGTGCATCAGTGCGCGCCTGGGATCCAAACCCCAGGCCGCCGAAGTGGAGCATGCGCACGTAACCACTACGCCTGGCCAGCCCCCGCTTTGGTGGGTTTGAGCAGAAGGGTGACATGATCTAACTTAGGTCTTTATTAGGATCTCTTTGGCTGCTGTATTAAAAATAGACTGGAGTGAGAAGGGAGCCAGAGATAGGGAAATGGATTAGGTTAGGAGAAGTTATTTTTGTCTCATGGTTTTATATATATATATTCTATTTACTGAAAACTCTCACATTTATATGTCCAGCTTCGACCTTTTCCTTGTAGTCTAGATTGTAAACTCCACTTGGAATTTATACCTTAGATTTAACATTTCTGAAATCTTGATCTTCTCCCCCAAATTGCTACCCCAGCAATATTTCCCAACTCAGTAAAAAGCACTGTTGTTCCTTGTTCCTCCATCTCCCTGGCCAATAGCCTTGAGGTCATCCTTGATTTTCTCTTTCACACCCCAAATCCGATCCACCGGTAATTCCTATTGGCTGCAACTTGAGGAGAAAAGCACAGTTGAAGCACTTGACTTCCGTTGCTGCCTGCCAGTCCCGTCTACCGTCGTCTCTTTCCTGGATCACGCAGTAACTTCTTAACTGGTTTCTCAGCCTCCGCACTTGTCCTCCTCTGCACAGCAGCCAGTATAACAAAAAGTGTATCTTGTCCGTCTTCTGCTTAAAACCAACCAGTTGTTTCCCATCTGACTAGAAGCCAAAGTCGACACAGTGGCATGGTATGGCCCCTCACTGCGTTTCTAACTTCATTTTATACTATTCTCTTCTTCAGTCACTGCTGCAGCCCAACTGGCCTCTTGGCTGTTCCTTTTCTGCCTGTCCATGCCTATGTAATCTGTGTCACAGACTTTGTTATACAAATCCCCCAAATTGTAAAAAGCCAGAGACATTGCAGATGGTAATGACTAACATTTATTGAGTGCCTTCTGGGTGCCAGGACTTTTTTCATTTATTACTCCCAGCAACTCTGTGCATAAAAGGTAGGCAGTACTAATCCCATTTTCATAGAATGATAAACTGACTCTCAGGAGAAGTTATGTAACTTGCCCGTGGTCACATAACCAGTAAGTAATGGAGGCAGGATTAAACCTGTACTTAAAAACTCTAAGCACTGTACTACCTCTTTAGGTGTCACGTAGTTGTTGCTCCTCAAAATGCATTCCGAGGAGCTTCCTGAGGGTGGGGAAGCCAGGTGTGTCCCCCTCCATGTCTCCTCTCCTGTTTCTCTTCCCCAATAAGAATAGCTCCCAGCTTCACTGCTATCTGTTTGATGAAATTTCATTTGAAAAAAGAATCTAATGCCTAGGTAACGTTTGAAGTCTGCAAACCATTGATGTTTTTCCTCTTTAATCAGTAAATTAGGATTTCAGAGGGGCCTAAAAAGAGGTCCTTTTTTGTGGCAAAATAAGCAAATGTTAACTTGTCCTCATTTCATCGTGTTTATTTCAGAGTGAGATAATTCGAGATAACACGGGAATTTTGGAATGTGTTAAAGAAGGAATTGGAAGAGTAATAGGCATGGGAGTGCCTCACAGCAAACGCCTCCTTCCGCTTCTTTCCCTGATCTTCCCTACGGTGCTGCATGGGGTTCTTCATTACATCATCAGCTCAGTCATTCAGAAGTTTGTCCTGCTAATTCTAAAGAGAAAGACTTACAATAGCCACCTAGCTGAGAGCACTAGCCCGGTACAGAGTATGTTGGATGCTTATTTTCCAGAACTTATTGCTAACTTTGCTGCCAGTCTTTGCTCTGATGTTTTACTTTACCCACTGGAAACAGTTTTGCACCGCCTTCACATTCAAGGAACACGCACGATAATTGACAATACAGACCTTGGCTATGAAGTGCTTCCAATTAATACACAGTATGAGGGAATGAGAGACTGTATCAATACCATAAAGCAGGAGGAAGGAATGCTTGGTTTTTACAAAGGGTTTGGTGCTGTTATAGTACAGTACACACTGCATGCAGCTGTTTTACAGGTTACCAAGATTATTTACTCTACACTTCTTCAAAATAGCGTTTGAGATTTAGGTTCCTGGTGAGTCTAAAAGACATCATCTGGATACTTTGTTATGAAATTATGAAGGATAAAAGTGAAATCCTGGGGGAGGGATGGATTAGAAAGTGAAACTGGTAGAAAAAGCCCATGCTAATTATATTGACTCTTCACTTTTTTTTTTTTTAAGGTCATAGGTATATATTTTGGATCAAAAGTATTCCAAATTTGAAAACTCCATAAAAATAACGCTCATATGAATTAAATTCTAACTAGTGTAGCACTCATGCCAAACTAAAGATGATCTTGTCAGCAAACATATAACAAAATTTCACAGAGCTGAGTTTATTCCATCTGACTTTAATATTTATTACATGTTTATTGCACCTTCTAGATTGATACTGGTATGTCATCCTTAATGTCGTGTGTAGTATCAGGAGATCATAGTTTACCTTAAGCAAATAAATCATGTTATCAATGAGAAAGACGAGAAGGATTAGATTTAACAATCTATAAGCAGGATTTGAAGAGTTTTAAATTGCATTGTCCCTATATAACTTTTTAATGGCTGTATGTTTATTATATAAAGCCATTTATGTACACACATATAACTTGGAATTTCCTTCATCCTTACAAATTTTCCACTCTTAGGTCAGCTTATTGCATAAAATGAAGTCATATACTTTCTGCCTGAATATAAGACCTTAAAAGCCAAGGTATCCAAAAGATTTAAGGCAAACAGCATACTTGTCCATATCCAAACCCAACATTTCAATGCCAGCAACTTAAAATTCATCAAGTGTTTATGAAGTTTAATTTGCTTACCTAGTTATGTGAATTATGAGGCTGTTTTTCGAGCCACTCTTAAGAGAGATAGAATATAAAATAATCATGGCAACTATTACTGTTTACACGTTTACAAATTGTGCACTAGAGGAACGTCACTTGCCTTTCATTTCAGAATGACTTGTCTTAAAAGACACAATTAAAATTCACCTGGGAATTTGTGCCTCTTGCCTTCCGTATAGTCATCATTAAATAATGGCTTCAGTTTTTATTTTCTTCCAGTTTTTGTTTATAGTTTCATTCTCCAAACTAGGCATACATAAAGGGAAAAGTAGATTTATCCTCATTGCCTTTTATTTAAACTTGTTTGGATGAATACTGAAGAAATACAAACCTTAAAAGCAATTTGTCTTTGCTTTTTATAGATGAGGAAAAGAAGTAAATTTCAACAAATAATAAGCAAAAAAATTGTTAATCCGTTTAATAAAAAAATTCTGTCTGTTCCTAAATTGAATTTGGTGGCGAGGCTCTTTGATTAGTAAAATGATATGCATTTGACTGATCCCTCATTCCACATTTTAAAGTTTCATTTCCTCACAGGAGAGATCACAGTTTGACTATGAACCATTTAGCACACTGAAGTGCTATGACTTTGCACTGACGTTGTTCAACGTAGAATGCGTACAAACGGAGATGTATTTTACTTGCTAAATGTCAGCGAAATGGTTACTTTTTGTGATTAATAACGTTGGAACCAAAAAATGATATCCAAAAAGTGTGAAAACAGAATATACGTAGCAACTCTATTATCTTGTGTTGTGTGTGTTTTTTTAATTACTAAAACACATAAGTTTTCCATTTTTAAATTCCACCAAGAGGGGGCAAATAAAATTAAACACCACTGATCATGTTGTGGTTTATAGTTACGCTTTTAGATTATGGTTACTTTGTCCAACCTGGGGCATTTAAATTGTTTTCATTGCTTTTGAACTGCTAAGTAAATTTTTAGATGTTTATAATGTTTCCAACTTCCTAAAAACCTTTCATTTTTATTGTAATCAAAGAAGATAGGTTTAGACGAGAGTAACCTGAAAACTTCAAGTTTCAGAAAATTTCTAGAAGAACAGAATCTGAATGGAGTCAAGTATTTACTAGTGAAAACCGATGGGGTCCTTTATCTAGCTAAAAATTAGATATTTCAAGATTATTTGATGGAAGTTAGAATGAAGATTCAGTTACATAAATCTGTTTCATTATGAAATCATTACAGACTGATAGGCTGAACCACACACCACACAAGTAATGTTGGTCTTATTTTCTCACATTGAAGCAAGAATACAAATTAACATTAAAATTGAAATGTGGCAAATAAAATACTAATTTTTTTTTACTCCCATTCCAAATTAGTTGAAATATAAAAATCTCTAAATTAAATGCTGGCCAAATATGTTTAACTGAATTTAGAAAGGAATAAGTGAAATAAACGTTGGACATGCTTTTTCTGTTTTTTAAAATTATTCTATTTCTTTAGCGTACAGGTGCCAAAATCAAATTTCAATGGGCCACATTTCTTAAGATGATAATAGCTCAGAATAATATTGTTTAATTCAGTATGATTAATGGTATTAGGAATAAGATTCTATTAGAATGTTCCACAGGCCCAGTGGTCCTCCCACATAAGCCAGATTTTGACCATGGAGCTGAAGTGTGATATGCTTGCCTTACATTGTAGGGTTTCTTAATTTGAGTCAAATAATCTGAAAGCAATTGAATTAAAAACTGAAACACCTGGTAAATGTTAACTTACTATGTTAAGTGAATTTATTAATTGATTTACTAAATCTGTTTATACATCTCTTTCCCTTGAGACAGTCTTCTCTATTTTATGGGCCCTTGAAAAATAATCTCTAGGTTTGTAGAATTTATTCAAGCCTCCAAACTCCCAGCACTGGATGTTCTAAATATGAAATAGTAAAAACAAACTAATTTCAAAATGGCTGTGGATTGGGGGATTTGATAATTTAGCCAGTGTTTTCAGAAACAAAACTGGAGAGGTAAGAGGTCTTGCTCACTTTTGCAGACATGCCTAAGTATTCACAGCTGTCTTTTTAGTACTGGCTTTGTTATAACCACATGAAGCATTCACTTTACTGATTGGGCACAAGTGCTTCAATATTTCTATCTGTGTATTCGTACATCTGCTCAGAAAATAAAACACATTGCTTTGATATTTGTTTTTTCAACTGAGATTGTGGAAGATGTTGCCCTCAGTTACTCGATCTTTTGGAATACAAAAGACTACTCTGCCAGCTCTTGAAAAGATAGCCACGTTTGAATTAATTATTTTCAATAATATATAAGCAAATAAAATCCCCTTGCACTAGAATTTGAGTGATATTTAACTTTGGCATTTCTGCTTTCTCTTCACTTTCAAATAGTACATTTCACTCTGTCTCCAATATAAACTGGATATGTCATGTCTTTTTTTTGAGTCATTGAGTATCATTGACATGGCACCAAGATGTATAGCAGAGTAACAAAAATTTGTGATTTGACAATGAATCTTATACAATATTACCTCAGCTAGAAGAGGTGTTTTGTCTGTTTTGTTTTGTTTTTAAGTTGTTTTTGTCTCACTGGTATTTTAAATATTTTCAGTAAATTGTGTAATATGAAAAAGTTCAATAAAATGTTGAAATAAAACCAATATTTTTCTTTTACTGATGCTACTCAACCACAAGTCATGTAGGGGTTCAGGATATGTCACCCCAAAGTATGCCATGTTGGTTTATTGATTATTTTGAATTAAACGTACTTGAGAAACAGCCAATGCAAGGACACTGACCCTCCTTTTTCCACCTGAAAGCGAGTGATAAAATCTCCGTGTGAAAGGTAGTCTCCCTGTACCAGGAGAGTAGAAGGGATCCTTATCACCAGAGACAGGGAATTTAGGGCTGAGAAGGCTGTGTAAATAAACCTTGTTAATTCTTTACCATTTATTACCCTAAGTCCAAGCCCCTCTGCCTTGTCAATTCTTAACAAATCTATTGTTTCTTTGTCTAAAAGATAGAAAATCTTTCTGTTCTGGTCACTTCTCTGAGTCTTGTCTTTCATGGGGCTTCTGTATGTACGAAATTAAATTTGTTTTTCTCCTGTTAATCTGTCTTATGTCAATGAAGTTATTACACCAACCGAAGAACCTAGAAGGCCAGAAGGGAAAATTTTTCTACACCTACAGTCGTAAAAGAAAAGTAGGTAAAAATGATCAAGAAAAATATATGTAAAGTTAATGTTTTTTGCCCACCATTTAAAAAATCCTTCTGATGCAACTGTGATGTGGCTCACAAAACAAGTAACATGTTTCCTATGCATTATCTTTTGTAAAAGTCTTACACATTCCCTATTTGATCCTTACAACAACCCTCAGGGATTTTCTGAGTAGTGCTATCTAGAAAGGAAATAGGTATAGATGGTGGGCATCGCTTGAAAACATTGTAAGGTGATCAGAAAAACCTGCAGTCACCTAGGGCTAAGAATTACTATTGAGACGTGAAAGAGACTGCCTAAAAGAGAGGAAAAGCCAAGGAGAGGGTTTCTTTGGGAAATTAAGGCTTTCAAAAGGGGTCCTGTATACTGGGGAATTTAGAAAGCCACATGCGTGGCCAGGGTAGGACGCATGCTCAGAAAATAACTGAGAATACCCTAAATTTTCACCACTGGATGATCTATAAACTCAGTGCCAGCAGAAAGTGAAGGGTGAGGCAGAGTTGTAAATAGCTTGGCTAAGCATTAATGGAGTGACCCAACACAAAGCCAATCCACAAAGTTAAGCAACTAGCTAAACACAAAGCCAGAAATCAAACCTAGGTCTTTAATCTAGTTCAGTGTCCCACCATAAAGGGACCTTTCAAAGTCAGGAATAGATGGTCTAATGGTATCTGTTCTTTAGGAAAAGAACAATGGCTCACATTTATTGAATGCGTAGTTTAATGCCCAGATCATTAAGGACTTAAATGCCTTATCTCATATATTACCTACAGCAACCTTGTGAAGTAGGTACAGATAATATGTATCCTCATTTGACAAATGCAGGTGCTAAAGCTGGGAGGTTAAGAGCTTTGCCCAAGATGATGCCGTTAGTAAGTAACATAGCTAGGATTTGACTCAGGCTTGTTCAATTCTTGCACTCCTATGCTGGTCACCAGGCCGAAATTTGCTTTGCTTTAAATAGTGACATCCAACAGAAGGACTGAAGGACACCACTGTTCTCACTCACTAATGAGTTGCTTCTCAGCTTAATCTGTACTGCAGTTGACAACGGAATGCTTCTGAGAGCTCTTTGGTAGGTCCATCTACAGTCCTCACCACTTGCCCTTCTCCAGGTTGGAAACAACCTCTCTCTTTTTCTTGGAGTTTCCATAACCTCTTAATCCTTTCTTGTAACATTTGGACTCTCTACCTTGCAGTTATCTGTGACTATCTGTTAAATTCTCTAACTTGATCCTAAAGGTCCTGTTTTCTCCCCATTCCCACTACACATACTACATAGACACAGACATCATAAATTACACAGACATAATAGACGTTGAATGATTAAACGGATTTGATTAAATTGTGCACCCAATCTTGTCTATATATTTTGAAACTTATTCTCTTTTAGCTTCGAATTTCAACACTGAGAGTGACCTTTGGAAATCATCTCAACTAAACCTCTCATTTCACAAGTTTGTAAACTAAGTCCTAGAGATGTTTGGTGATTTTAGTAAGGTCACAGAATAAGAGTTGGTGCTGCAACCTAGGTCTTCCACTCCCAGACTCGTCTTTTTCTCCTACATCACCCTGCCTCCTATCTTTCATTCACCGCTGACTCCCTCCTTTCTGTATACATATATCTATACAACATAGACACCAGAAACTCTGGCCACAGAAATCCTGTGGCATTTGAAAGACCCTACTTTCAAAAAAAAAATCTTCTTGCACATTCCTTTGTTACTTTTTTCATTCCATCTTTTGACTTCTTCACTGGCTCTAATTTCTAATCCTGTCCTTGGAATTTTCCTAACTCTGTTCTAAGGCTTTACTGTTTTGTGTCCAGAGCATATCATCCACTACCACTCCATTGTTTAACTGACTTCCCAATGTGTCTCTTCAGCCCTGATTTATCCCCTAAGCTCCAGATCCACATCTCTAATTATTTCACGCATATTGGCACTTGTGTTTCCTTACTGTTGCCTCAAGTTCAATATTGAAAGCTAAATTCATTATCTTCTGCAAACTGACTCTCTCTTCTCAATAATGTTAGCATTTTTCCAATATATGCAATCAATTTGAAATCGTCTTTAATTTCTCCCCAGATATTTCATAGTCAATAAATTATTAAAGCTTATCAAAAAGAGCATGCCATGAAGCCTGGAAAATCTGGCTTTGGATTCTGGTTCCATGGCATACTAACAATCTCTCTGAGCCTCAGTCTCCTCACATGTGAAAATCAGGATAAGGCCTACCTCACTGAGAGTTAAATGAAATAGTGTCTGTAAACAACCTGCAGTACTGAAAATGTTCCCCTTTCCAATCTCCTTTCTGCCGCTA